AGTGCTAATGTTGGAGGTGTTGAAACAGTATGTCTCAACTGCTCAAATGCTTGTTGGGCCTGGGCTGACCAGTGAAAGGCATCTCTTTTCAGCAATTGGGTCAAAGGGGCAGCTATTGGGTTGTAGCTTTTGATGAAGTGGCGATAATACCCTATCAGGCCCAAGAAGGCCCTCAATTCTTTCATATTTTTGGGTTGCGGCCAGCCCTATATACTGGAGATTTTATCCGGGTCTGCTGCTACAGTTCCGTTTTCTACAACATGTCCCAGGTAATATACTTGAGTTTGTCCAAAGGAGCACTTGAACTCTTTAGCGAACAACTGATGGGTCTTAAGTGTTGCGAGGGTGACCTATAGATGGTTCAGATGCTCCTCCTAGTTGGGGCTATTGATCAATATATCATCAAAGAAAACAGGAATGAACTTACGTAAATATGGCCGGAATATGTCGTTCATTAAGGCTTGAAATGTTGTCGGAGCGTTGGTCAACCCAAATGGCATGACCATGAACTCATAGTGGCCATCACGTGTCCTGAAAACCGTTTTGTGAACATTCTCTATATGTACCCTTATCTGGTGATACCCAACTCGTAAATCTAATTTTGAGAATATGGTGGCCCGACTACGTTCATCAAGCAATTCATCAATGACAGGTATTGGGAATCGATCCTTAATGGTGATATTGTTAAGAGCCCTACAAAATCGCCAAGTCCCATCCTTCTTTTTGACTAATAATACCGGCGAGGAGAATGGGTTGTGGCTGGGCTGTACTATTCCTTTCTCAAGCTTATCATGAACTTGCTTCTCGATTTCAAATTTTTGAAAATAAGAGTATCGGTAAGGTCTTACATTGGTTGGGGCGGCTCCTGGCATGAGAGGAATGCGATGGTCATGCTCTCGGGGTGGTGGAAGCTGTTGGAGTTTTTTGAACACGCTGCCATATTGCTGGAGGAGTTGTTGCAGGTGGTTGTGGTAGTCTCCAAGCCCATTTGAGCTGCTGTTAGCTAAGGATGGGCTGGTCCAATTTGAGTCCATGTGCATGAATATGGGCTGATCCGGATCTCCCATTTGCTTTGTTAATGTTGCAAGACTGATGGGCCTCCTATCTCCAATAGGTCCTACCCAATCAACATAAGTAAACGTTTCTACCTCAATTTTATCATGCTTCTTAAAAAGTAATCCCTTTCTTGGACCAGTCTTTAGGTATCTCAGAATTCTTTCTACTGCATTCAGATGGGAAACACATGGAGTATGCATAAATTGGCTGACTTCGTGAACTGCATTAACAATATCGGGTTTAGTAAGAGATAAATATAAAAGTTTGCCAACAAGTTGTTGATACCTCTCTTTGTTAGAATAAAGCTTTCTCATCATCACCTTGCAAACCATGGTTTTGCTAAATAGGAGTATTAGCTAGTTTGTATCCTAATTTCCCTATTTCCTCTAGCAAGTCTAGAGCTAGAGGTGTAAATCGAGCTATGCCGAGCCCAGCCTGTTATTGTAGCACGTGGGCTGTGCCGCAGCCTGCCCCATATCCCTGGGCCATGCTAAGCTTGGATTTTTAGGTCCATGGGCTGGCACAACGCGACACGACAAAGTGGGCTGTGTTGGTATTGGCCCGCGGCTTGGCGTAGCCCATATGTATTATTATATATTTATATTATATATAATAATATAATTATATACATATATATGTATATGTATGTGTAAGAATATTATATATAATAATATTATATATAAGATTATGATATATATATATATATATTTTTTTTTTTTTCAATTTTATTGTACTCTTTTATTCCAATTTTATTGTATTTTTTTATTTCATTTTATTATTTCATTTTATTATTTCATATATAAACAATTGTATACATCAAAATTCATATAAAATAAAATTTTAAGATTTTTTTCAAAATTTTGTCTTTTGTTTATTTATTTTAAAATTTTCATTATTTTTTAAATATGCCTCTCATGGTCTGGCCTAGCTTGGGCCTGCCATGAGCTGTGTTGGGCCTGACCTATTAAGGATCCTAGAGGAGGCAGGCATGGCCCACATCGTCCCATAAGCCAACATGGCACAGCCCGCTAAAGCACAAGCAGCCCACAAAGTCATGTCGTGCCAGCCTGTCATGACCCGATCTACACCTCTATCTAGAGCATACTTCCTTTGGATAATGTAAATTCCTTCACTGGATCTATCTATCTCTATTCCCAATAAATATCTTAGAGGTCCCAAATCCTTAATTTCAAACTTTGAGGCTAAGAAACCTTTCAACTTTTGATCTCCTAATCATTCCCTATAACCACTAAATCATCAACATATACAATCAATGTTGTCATTTTGTCTCCATTTCTTCTATAAAACAATGTGTGATCAGCACTACTTTGTTGGTATCCCACAGTTGTCATTGCCTTGCATAGCCTTTCAAACTGGGCCTTAGGTGATTGCTGTAGCCTATATAAAGCCCTTTTCAGTTTACATACTTTTCCTCTCATGTTTTACCCTGGTGGAGCATCCATGTAGACTTCTTCTTGTAGATCACCACTCAAGAATGCATTTGTTACATCCAACTGGGGCAAAGGACTCCTTGTGCAAACTCTTTTGCAACCAATTTGGCTTTGTACCTTTCAATAGAGCCATTAGCTTTATGTTTGATTGTATACACCTACTTGCAACAGTGCCTTCCCATTTGGTAGATCTACTAACTCCCAAGTATTAACCTTCAATAAGGCTCTCATTTCTTTTTTTTTTTCTTTTGATAAATAAGGTCTCTCATTTCTTCATACATGGCTTCCCTCCATTTGGGGTCAACAATCACCTCTGAATTCCTAGAAGAGTTGAGACAGAGGACAAGGCAGAGACGAAAGAGTGATAGGCAGGAGAGACATGAGGATAGAGACAAACTTATTTATAGGATGAATTGTACATGAATGAACCGGTTTCGGTACAACAATAGGTAGATCCAAATCATAACTAGTGGAGCAGGAGACAGATAGTACCTTGGCCAGATTCAGAAGCATCCAACTGGTTGTGGTCATCAACTAGTAGGTCTTTCTTCCTCTTTCTTTGATAAACACTTGGCTCTCTCGCATCAATTACTGGAACCGTTACTGTAGGTGTGTTCGGAGTCTTATCTGGACGAGAAATTGCTGAAGGTGTTGTTTCTGGACAAGGGGAATCAGAAGTAGAGGGAGCATTAGAAGGATCAGAAGGAGCAGATGGAAGGGTGGAAGTAGGAATAGAAACAAATGGATTAACCTCAGAGGAAGTCTCCTCCACCCCACTAGTCTCCCCCTGAATAGAATTCTAGGGAGGTTCAGAAAAAGATCGAATCACAAGACATAACATCCTTTATAGTAAACTTTCTTCTAGTTTACAATGTTTACAATGATACTGTAAAAGTAGTATCAGTGCTCTGATACCATGTTTACAATCAGGTTTAAGAGAAGAGAAGAACTTGTAGAAAGGAATGGCGGCTTCTATTCTGTCCAAACCATGGAATTTAAATGAGTGACAAAAGATTACAAGAAAGACAAAACTGCTTCTGATTAGGTGGCAGCAATAAAAATAAGAGTACAAGAAAAGCCCATAAAACTTAAATAAAGGAAATACATAATATAAACTGAGAAAAGGCCCAAGCCCACACAGTTATGTCTCACATCGTAGTTAATCTCCAAACACCCTTGTTTTATTATTAGCTGGAGATAACAGTGTATAGGTTTTTCTAGGGGTAAGGTATCTACTGGAATGATTTGTTAATTTTGTATTTAAATGTCATGAGAAATCTTCTAATTTGTCATAAACTTTCCTATTTTTATGGAATATTTACTATATTTATTTATTTATTTTATCTTATTTTAACTTTTATTAGTTAAAAGAATCCATGCTTGTGAGGTTTATGCTTGCGTAGTGGTTTGATGCTTTAGTATGGTTGAATGTCTTGTGTCATGCTTTACCATGGTTTTAGATGTAATTATTTTCATTTTAATTAAAAATATCTTTCTTTACTATTAAAATAATCTAATTAGTTGTGCAACTTTGGTTGGTTGGGCTAGGTATAGACTATAGGGCCAATATAGGCCCATCCAAAGGTCAAGCCCAAATTTTCCGAGCCAAGCCCAACCTGAGCATATCCAACACAACTTGGGCTGGGCTCAGGCTTGGGTGGGTTGGTCAGGTTTGAAAGTTTTTCTACTTGTGTTTTTGCACTTCCTTTCATTTAGGCATTATATAGTGCTGTGACTTGGGGGGTGGGGAGGTTGGATTGGATTTAGGGCCAACCAACCTATACCTCATGCTTGGGCTTGGTGCAATTTAGGAATAGAATAAAAGAAAAATATGTACAAATACCATTACACAATGCATAAATACGGTAAACAGCATTGCAAAACCAGTCAGTAACAAGGTGATTTGAATTCACTTCTCATCATATATACATCTTTGTTGTTTGAGAGTTTTATCTACATTGGAGGCTAACAATATATTTGCTTTTGGAAGCTTAGTACTAATACTATACAGTAGTGTTACCTAATGACTTGTTAATTATAATCTACATAAACCATAATTTTATTCAGTAAATGAGCAAATAAAGATTGAGACCTTGTTCTCAGGAAAAATAACACGATTTTTAAATAATATCCCTTGTTCAAAGGAAAACACATGCACACTACATTACAGTCCTATCATATCAACACAAAATGATACACTGATATCAATATGTGAAGGGGCAGTCAATTATTTGCCCCAACTAAGAGGTTCAAATCAATACTCCCCACTCAGTTGCCTAGGTAATGGGCTTCTAAAATGCCCAAATGATTTTCTACAATGCCTTGGCAACACTTCAACTACACTGCAAAAGAGTTAAGATAATTATTATTATGTTATAGTACATCAATGAACATCTTCTCATATATACATTGTTTTCCTATATATTAAATTATTAATATAAATACCCTTACCCTTTCTCCAAAAGAAAAATTCACATTCTATGTTGTATGCAGGAACACCCTGAGTGGGAGATAAAGAATGGATTTGTATATTTCCAGAAGGCAAAAGAATCAGCCCCTTGCAAGGAGATACCATCTTTACAGCTGATCAATCAGACGCTTAGTTATGCCCGAGAATTGGAGCGGATTGTATAAAACTGCTTATTCTAATGGTATTTCTATGGACAATCTAGGGCTCTATTGATTGCTTTGTGTACATTTGTATATGTGTAGTCATTATAAAATTTTCTGGGTCAACATTCTTTGTTTCCTGATTTTATTTCAATTTTCTGATCTAATATTTTATCTTGGTTTCTCTAGACATGAACCTTATATTTGGTACAGGGCCACTCAAATGTTCGCAATCTTTGAGTATGAGCCACATGTCTTGTTGACATGGTTCCTATGTCATTGACATATCATATACTTTGTATGATCAATTTGATTAAGATTCTATAGATAGTGTTTGATGAGATCATCTAATTGGTTGTACCGAACTGTGTACATTGTAAAAAGAGTGTCCTTATTGAATATTTTAGATCAATTGATAGATGTGATGAATGGAAGGTTGACCAAGTTTTTTTATTAATGCTTTTGCATGGATTTGATGTGTTCTCACTGAGCCATCAATTGAAGGGAGGAGTGGAATTAATATCTTTTTTTTTTATCAGAACAGCTAATGAAGATATTTTTGATCTGCTGATATTTATCCTTTGATAGAGCAATTTAAACCGTTGATTTTATTTGAGAAAGTGCAACTCTTGCTTTCAATGTGAGTCTGCTAAGTTGATCAGATGATGTTGGTCCTTTTTTCTTTCATCATGAAGGGTAGACATGGAAGGGGGAACTGGGTTTTTCTCGGCATATGATGCAGGGATTTTTGCTAGGATATGCGTGGGGATTTCTCAAGGATGAGCTGTTTGTCAAATCTTTGTGTTGTTGGTTCTCTATTTGTCTTTTGGTTTCTTTAAGATGTAGCTTTGGGGGTTTTGGTTTTTGGGCTGGAGACTGGTTTGTGCTTACCTCGGAGTTCTTTTGCTTTTCTTTTTCTCATTTGTCTTTCATTGCTGTAATCTTCTTCCCTTTGTGTACTGGGGCTTTCTTTTGTTTACTTGTTCTTTGAATGTGGCATTTATAGGGATGGCTGTACTCATTACCACTATTTGTATTTTGCAGCAACCGTGGATAAACTTACTAAAGCTAGATGCTTGACTGGCTTCACTCAATTTGTGAGAGCAGTCACAGAGCTACAGAATACAGACCTGTTGTGTTTGAACTTTCAAATGTAATTCGTATGACAAAGCAAATGCCAGTGTTGGCTATGATGATGCCCTTTGTCACAAGAGAAACTGAACTGCCTCTTTGTTTTACTATATTCCGTATTGATCGTGATTGAATATTCCTGAATAGACTTGTTCCTTATTGATCAAAGTTCTTATTTTCAAGTAAGTTGTAAAGTAGCCAATGTATCGGTCCTTCAGGTTAGTGACACAGGTGCATATCGGTCTGTATATACACACACACACAGAGGTCCTCTCACTATAGTTCACACATACCTTCTTTCTCGAGTTTGGCTTTGGTCAGGGCAGAGCCCGTTTCGAACAGTCTTTACAGCTTTGCATTGAGAATATCTCCATACTTGTATGCTTTATTTCATGGGGAGATATTCCCAATGCAAGGTTGCAAAAGGTGGTTGGAACGTTGTGGGCATAGGCTTTCCTTGATGGAAACCGATCTCAGGTGCATATTTATTTTTAAATTAAATCATTAAAAATATAACAATTTAAAATTAAAAATTTCTCATAAAATCTATGTTTACCCTAATAAGTCCATTCTTAAATCTCTCTTTCTTTCTCTCCCACCTTAATAGTCAATGTTTGAATATCTCTCATCCCCAATAAGTCCCTCCTTTCGTATCCCATTTTTGCTCTCTCTAATAAAATAAGGATATAAATTATATGGATTGGGTTAGGTTGACGGCTAACCCTAAATATGAACCTCAGCTTGGTCTCAAGCAAATGTCAAAAACCAAATTTGCCAACAGCCTACATAGTATATGCTGTAAACCAATATTCTTCTATAAAAGACAGAAAATCGTGGGTTATTGGGTCTCATAATATATAAACTATATAAAAATAAGTGTTAAGCACAATGAATAATTTTTTTTTTCTACTAGTTTATACAAGGTTCAAATTATTGATACAGTCGATACATCGGTAGGGGCGTATCAGCTTGTACTGAGGCTCATTTCTCCTATTTTTATTTTTGAGTTTTTTTTTCATTTTGGTTCAGACAGGTCGGTTTAAGGCCTGTCTAGCCCCGAACCATGGTCTGACCCGAAAAACCTACTGTAAAGGCGTATTAAGAAGCCCCAGATACGATACGTATCGTTCAATACAGCCTGATACGTATTGAAACTTTGAACCTTGATTTTATATGTAAATATCTAGAATTATCTAAAAACTTTGGTAAATTGTTGTTATTAAATATTTCCGTTAAGAATACATCTTTAAACAACAGATCAAACGGGTCACACTAGTTGTAATAGAAAGGAGTGTGAGAATTAAGGGGTCTCTCAATACAGCCCTTATATAGTCTCTTTTTCTCTCCTTGGCCGCACATGTGAAAAATTAAAAATAAAAAGTTAATGCAATAAAAGAAAACTTTCAAATTAGGTACCTTAATCTTCTATCATAAAGTCTAATGAAACAAGCATTCCACCCTTTGTTTTTCTTCAAAAGCAAGCAGTTTTAGATTAAATTGTGAAATGGTCAATTATTACCACCTATGGGGGTAGAAGGGTAAAAGTTCAAAACAATTCTTTTGCAGTTTTGTAGTTTAATATCAAAGAGGTTGGTTCTAGACCCCAAAACTGGAGGCATTTCTACATCTCTTCCTTTTTTATTTTTTGAGGTGCATGAGACAATGCCTATAATAGAATATTTTTTGAGAAAGTCATGCTTAAGTGTTTTGTCTTTTAAATAGTCTTTAGGAAATTGGACTGGACTGGTCGATCGAACCGTGGCCCGGGCCTTAGCCAATTTGGTCACACCGAAACAACCATATTTGCTAAAGACCTGGTGAAAATCAACTAATCGACCGGTTTAACTAGAAACCAAAGTCCCTTGTAACACCAAAGTCTCTCATGCCATTAAAGTCTCTTGCCTTGCAATGAAATCAATAATTTTTCATTTAATCTCTTTAATTTCAAAAAGTCCCTTATGACACCAAAGCCTCTCGTAGCACTAAAGCCCTTCATGGCATTAAAGTTTTGTGCCTTATGATAAGGAAATTAATATTCTTCATTTAATCATCTTAATTCTAAAGTCCTTCTTGGTAAAGGAGTCAGCTAAATTTTCAATTAATTATCTTGTTCTCAAAGTCCCTAGTGGCAGTAGTTTTCCTCAATAAGTTATACCACGTTACAATAAATTGAGTGCAAAAATTGATAAATAGTAATGAATAAAAATATAAAAAAAACATTAAAAAAGAAAAATTCTAATGAGAAGCTTGGTGGTAGGTTCTTCATTATTTACTAGTGTTTGATAGTATGTTCGAAAACTTCAAACCTTTTAAGCACCCCATTTTGTGCTAACTTTTCAAACTTTCCCCTTCATTCCCAAAGGGTGCAAATGAGAATCATGACTTAAGGCATAATGTTAATCATGCACCAACATTACAATGATACTACCACATAGTTGAAAGCACAACACTTTGCACTATCATAAAATTTAGTGATTGTTTTGCCAAAGTTTTTGAGCATAGACTACTCTTGCATTGAAAGATGCTTCTCACCTATAAAGAGAATAATATACTATATCAATTATAGGACCTTTATCAAGTCTTCAAAAATGTTTTACTAAAGCTTTTTAGAATATTTTTAAATTAATAAAGAAAGAGAGAAAAGAGTGTTTGCAAATATTTTTATGATTATGTTTTGCAATAAATCTGAAGACTTTTCCTAACTTACTTTGTTTTCAACTATTTTTCTTTACGGTAAATATACCCTAATTTCATAAGGTTGTTTGATACCTAAGAGGGGTCACTTTGCTAAGAATAAATAGCCTTCACATGATGGAACGGTGCTGCACAAATACATCATTCCTCACCTTAACCTCTTTTAAGCCTATCATTCATAAAAATTTTCACGTGCTTCTTTTGTCTTTGTTGTTTTGTAGTCTGTTATCCCACAACAAAGACGGGTAGTTGTTAGCACCTAATTTTTGCTTGGCCTTTCACCTGAACCCCAACTCAGCCCCGAACACCCAATCAAATCATTCCAATCTCCATGAAAACACCAAAAACCCTGAGCCTAAGCCTAGAGTCTTCAAAATCCATAATTGAGCTTGCCCAATTCCGATCCGATAACCCTAATCAAACCCCACCAACACCACGGCCAATAAACCAGACACCATCTAACTTAGAACCTTGAAATACCCATTCAGGACAAGTCTCAGCCCAAAACTTCAAACTTTCATAAGCCATTAACTAAAGATTTCATTTTAAGATTTCAATTAATTAATACCATTAAAGCTTAAAATTTGGTCAATCCCATTTCACTGATTACATCATACTTTACCATTGATCCCAAAATTCCATACTCAACCAATCTACAAAATTTCATAGCAAAATTCCCCCTTTTGAGCCATAAATAATTCAAGATTCCGTTATGAGAGCCCAAACTAGCCAACTCTATATGACCCAAGATACTTTCAACCCCTGAATTTCCCATTCTTCCCATCTAATTAAAGATTTGTCTTTTACATTAAACTCTAGATATCCTAAAATGCCTACCCATGAAATTTGAATTCAAAATTACCTCATTTACCCCTTTATCAAACCATGATTCTATTTTGAGTCCTTTTATTAGTCAAAACACTTGCAACCTAGATTCCCTTAATTCCAACACCTCCAAACCCATCAGACACTCCCATTAAATTCTAGATATCACAAAATACCTACTTGTAACACTTTAATTCCAAATTCCCTCATTTACCCCTCCAACAAACTGAGATTTCATTTTGAGTCATATTATTAGTTGAAGAGCTTACAACCTAGATTCCCTTAATCTAGACACCTCCAAATCTATTAGACACTCCCATTAAACTTTAGGCAACCCAAAATACATACCTATAAAATTTTAACTCAAACTCATGTACCCCTCAATCAAAACAAGATTCTATTCCAAACCCTTTCATTAGTTAAACACCCATAGCCCAAATTCCCATTATCTCAACTTCCTTGAAACCATTAGACAGTTCTATTTGATTCCAGATACCCTAAAAATTCCTACCCACCAACTTCCTACTCAAAACTCATTTGTTTACCCATTCATCTAACAAAAATTCTGTTTGAAGCCCTCTTATCAACCACAGTCCAGATCCCCTAATTTCAGCCTCCCTTAGCCCATTAGATACTTCCATTAGACTTTGGATATCCTAGAATACCTATTTACTCATGAAATTTTAACTTAAATTTTCTTCATTTACCCCTTTATCCCATATAGATTCAATTTCAAATCCTCTCATTGTTCAAAACACCCACAATTCAAATCTCCTTGATCTTAGCCTCCCTAAGCCCATCAGACATTGCCATTATACTTCAACATCCTAAAATACTTACCCATGAAATTTCAACTCAAAACTCTCTTGTTTATCCCTTCATCTAACAAAGATTCTATTTCAAGACTTTTCATTAACCATACCATCCCCTCCAGAGCCACCTGATACATACACAACTTGGTCAATTTGACTCCACCAATCGATCCAAAATACATAAAAACCCTAATCTATAAATTTTTTCTAAAAATACCTTAACAAAAAAAAATTCAGTTCGGTCAATTTTATTGGCCTGTACACATGAGACCACCCTCCACCTTCATGCCCACTCCGTTCTTTGACCCAAAAATCTTGATCATTCAACCAAAATTCCAACTTAACCCTTCCTTAAACCCAAAATGGCAAAAATACCCTCAAAAAACCCTTAAATTTCCAAAATGCCCTTAACGCCCTAAAAAATACAAGGCTGAGTTTTAGCATTTGATCTAATCTACTGTTAGAAAAATACCATTCATTTCCTTCCTTCAATGAGAACAGAGCAACACTCGAAAACTTTTCCCCTTCATTCCTCTCTCTTTCTCTCTCTTTCTTTATATCTTTATCTCTTTGTGCCATCTCTCTTTTTTCCTTCTTTTTCTCTCTTTCTCACCATCCTCTCCCTTGTCATTCCCTCTTCTTTGTCATTGCTGCTACAACTCTTAGCAACGGCGACTCACTCCTCATCTCCCTCCCTTTTTCTTTCTTTTACTCTTTCTCACTCTTTCCCTACACACTTTCTCTTTCCTTCTCTGTCCCTGCCTTTCGTAGTCGTCGTAACTCAGCCAAGCAACAAAGCCTAGCTCGAGATCACCCTCTCTCTGTCTCTCATTCTCTTAGTTTCCCTTCTCTCCC